CTCTGTACAGGCTAGCTAGGGAGTCTGTCATGGTTTTATATATGGCACCTGCCTGTAACTTAACCCCAGTTGTCTTCCCTCCTGAAGAGGGAGCAGTACCACAAGCACATTTTCTAATCACACTCCAGTTCGCCACTGAAATTACTACGAAATAAGAGGGAAAGATGCAGCAAGAGGCAGTTTGTGATTACTAAATATTCAAGTCCTGAAGTTTAGTTTGATGGAAACAATACTGTGCTTTTGTCTGGCTCTTAATGACAATGATGTCAAGTTGGACTGAGCAGTCAACCTGGAACTAGGTTTGAGACTTCAAACGTTACCTTTAAGATCTAATCTCAAGCAAAAAGGGGCAGGGCACCAGTCTGAAGGAAGGTGAAGCCAGTATTAAATTTTCTCAAGAGAGAAGCAAGTTGAGCTGTTCCACAAGCAGAGGTTCCAGAAGTACAAGGAGTCTAACTTGTTACACAGACAGAGCACATACCATCATTGATGCGGAAGTTCCCACTACAGCCTTGCAGCTACCTGGTTTGAACAGCAAATGCATCCACTATTAATCCCAAACTCCTTTCACCACTGAAGCAGTGGAATGACTCAGCTGTAGGCAAAGCATGGGAGGAAAACGACCAACTCCCCCTGCTTTATACCTAGGCTCAGCTTGGCACTTTGGTTCTGAGTGAGGAAATACAAGGAGACTTTATGGGAGAAGTTTGGGTTATTAGAGAAACCTTGTTTCTCAAATCTCACCAGCTGTGCAGCTAAGACACTCGAGAATTCGCTGTTCATAGCATATGGAAGGGCTGTCTGTGCTCTTGAGCCATATGTGGTCTGAAATCTCTTCTTTATTTCATTCAGGAAGTTGAAGGCTCTAGATCGTTCAAAGTCCTGGAGGAAAGAGAGCACATCCACACCAGACATTGCTGCAGTTTGCCAGAGCTATGTGAAGTCACAGGGCTGTTAGATAATGAAACGTACAGAGCGCATTTTAGAGAATCTGATTATCAGCTCTCAACAGGCATGCTGTGCATAACACATTGCATAATTGGTTGCCATTAAAACCACAAGCTAAACAGTTTGGATTTTAATCCCAGCTTCTTGGACATTGATTGACAGACGATATTATTGGAGTATACTTTGTACTAATCCTATGCCTAGTAGCCTCTTCCAGAGAGAGAGAGCAGTTTTTACTTCAACATTTTCAGAATTGAGTACTACACATATTCCACTGATATTAAAGACAATCACTACAGCTAGATTTTACTGTACTGGGCTGCTGAGAGACTATGCAAAAATAAGAGCTTAACCTCAAAGCTAACTATTCAAAAGCATTTGAGTTTCAGGCTTAGACTCTGGAGGTCTGTTCTCATTCACATGAATTACATGTAGTAGCTCCCATGGAAAAAAGGCACCTCAGATTAGCACCATTACTGATTTTCACCAACATATAGGTACAAACTAACGCACACAGAGGTTCTCGGCAAGTAAGAGCTGTAACCAAAATACTTACATCATCTGTGATGCAGAGGTATATAATCCTGTCTTGGCAAATGTAATGAAACAGGTAACTGCGAAGAGAAAGGACAAGTCATTTGGAGCTGCCACAGGACTAATCTTCTAGAAGACACTAGCGTCTCTGGAGCCTTCAAAGGCTAAAAAAATAGAGGAGCAAATTCCAGTTACCCTACAGGAAGTCATGTAGATGTCATGAGTGATGCCCAGCCATCTTTGTTCAGATGTGTCTGGATTCCTGTGAGCTATATTGCAAAAGAGGCAACCTACGTCCTTGGTTAAAGGATCACTGACCTCAAGCCATTCACAGTATTCCAGATTTAGCAATAGCTCTGTGTGACATGAATTCCAAAATGACTCCAGGTCCACGTTCTACCAGCTACTTGCTTCTAGAAACAAACCTTGATGGGGATCCCAGGGATAACATTCGTGTCTAATCCTAGCCAATAGGCATAAAGCATCCATACATTAGTCAACAAGTGACATTATCTGCAGCTGCTGGGAACAACCAGAATATTAATACTTTGATGAACCTTGTTCGTACAGTAACTTGCTTCTTTAGCCTTGTTTATATGACTGCACTGTTGGACTGCCTTTGGTTTTCATTAAGGAAAAGAGCAACTAGACCACAAAATGAATTAGACAGAACAGTAATCATACTAAACCAGTGCAAAGCACATGGCTAGGTTAACTGTTCATAGAAAGATGCCTGTGCTAGTGTCAAGAGAACAGACACAGATGTTAATTAAATGCAACTCTCCGTATCTCAAGAGGAAACAGTCCAAACCAATTCAAAACAATAGCCTCCCCTTAAAATGAAACCAAGCTGTTTTTAGGTCTATCAGAAAAAAGCGTTAACTCAGAGATAAATCCAAACCAGAATAAATGAGTTTAAGTTAACTCACTAACTTTAGCCATTGCCCTTTTCTTGTATTGTCCCACTACTGTTTGACAATCCAGTAAGTGAGGTATTCTCCTGGCTACTATAGCAGGCCAGAATAGGAATACAGCTGCAAAAAGACCACGCAAATACTTTAACACCACCATATATCTACTCATTTTGATATTTGTAGACCTCCAAAACTTTCCCAATAAGCATGGGGACCCTTTCACAAGCTACAGAATAAAAGCAAGCTAATGCACGTGCTGCACAGCAATTGCCTTGTACAGATCAGAGGGCTCTGTGCAGCAGTTTTCAAACTCCAGTTTAGCATTATATAATTAACCAAACACTGAAATAAGGCTCAGGGGTGTGTTGAGAAGTATAGCTTGCTGTCCTGAAGGTCTGTTCTCATGAGAAAGCCTCCCTATCTACAACCACTGCCACTCCTTCCTGGAAGGAGGAAAGCAAAGCTTATCAGACACTATCTTAAGTACACCCAGTGATATGCGGAAGAATCTAAACAGCAGAGAGGGAATATCTCCACGAACTCCAGATGCCAGAGGCCTAGTTTTCCTTGGAGATTATGTAAAGACTTGGGAAAAAAAACTTGAATTTGTACTCCATTTAATGAGAATTTTTAAGACGACTTCCCCATTGCATAATTAAAGCAACAATCCTAGACAGACAGGTAATGGGGTGGCGTTCTAGTGTATAGGCTGGGGCCCTGGCAAGGCAGAAGGATCCCTGAAATCATAGACAGGGAGAATAACTCCTTGAGCTCACTCAGTTTCACAGTTTCAACCACCTCTCCAGGCATCACAGTTGCCTCTCACAGGCATCTTAACGCCCAGAGCTGCAGAACAGCATCAGTACGTTCTAGGAGCACAACGCAAATCAGAAAAACCACATCATGAACGGTAGTGATCTTTTTGCCACATTTATTGAAACCTCACTGAGGAAACATTTAGTAATGAGCAAAAGATTATACATTTCCTCCACAGCATGCTTTGCAAGTGTAAGCACTCATTACTGACTCGGTGCTCCCATCGAAGAGCAACAGCCTTTATCGCCACTCAAGTTTTCACCTATAAAAATGCACTACAGCACTCCTACAACTCAACTATGCAGTTGGCTGAAACATATTCAAGGCAAAGATAAAGCAAAAGACCATGGCCTTAAGATTACACTAGAACAAAGATTCAGCATCCAAAGTAGCTCTGACCATGAAGCAGGCAGCCTCCTCATAAAACTTCTCCTCAGGAATTTTTAGTGCTCCCAAACCACGGAAAGGTGCAGAAAGACTACCCATCAACAGCATTTTTACATCCAAGTTCTTATCAGTGAAGTAGACAAGCAGTGTTATATCTGTTCAAATTCTAAGGCAGCTAAAACAGCTTCTTAACATAACAGCTTGGACAATACTGAGAACCTAGTCACAACGTTAATTCCAAAGACAAACAAAGTGGGATCCAAGGCTTCTAAATTAGTCTTTTCTCCACAGTTCCTTCTTTAGTTTGTACATCAGCACATTGACACATTTACTTTTCGGCACAGGAACTTGGTATAACCTCAGGAGATGCTATGTTTGAACCCTCATTCCATCAACTTTGATCAGGGGCTGTTCAGAGATCTATACAAGCCTGGGAAAAATGCTTCCGTCTAACTGGATCTGTGGTGGCTTAGGGTCACTCTACAAGATATTGGCAACATGACTTATCTTAAAGGAACCAGCATCCACAAATAATCTGAGATGGGTGACATCTTTTCCTAAAACTGCATCCAAGCCTCAAAAGCCAGTAAAAACTCCACAAGCCAAATTCCAAATACCAGCAAGAAAAACCCCAATAGCTTCTGGCACCCATAGCAGAACACTTTCCAATTCACTTGGAAAGTTCTATCAAGATAGAAAATTTGATTTCATATCAACTGCCTCAATGCTTACTACTTAAACTAAACTCAAGTCTTGGTTATTTTGCAAAAATCTCGGGAAATAAGTAGCCATTGAGCTACTGCACGTGCAATCAGCATACTAACACAGCTAAAAGTTTTGTAAAAAACTGAAGTGGGCTAGATTTCCACTGTATGTTCAAGTTTCTCCTCCTGTTTCCAGAGACGCATTACTCACTTCCCATGAGAATAGGTCAGTTTGTTGTTTTCGGACGGTATCTTAGCCAGAATCTGCTCCGTCACCTCCAGAAAGTTTCCTCCACACCAGGCATGTTTGGCAAGGATGGTTGTGCCCCTTGCAACAACAGCAAACAGGATAGCCATGACTTCACACTATCTAGAATTAAAAAAAAAAGTGTATTAGATTTGCATTATTTGGCAGAAAATACATTAGTCTTAACAGTATTCTCTCAACTCTCAGCAAAATGGGATGGAGGCCTAAGCACTTTCAATACTTCTATAATTTTCAGCAAGCCATCTTCCTGTTCTCTCATTTCTTCTTTTGGGTCACGTTCAGGATCACAGCAAGATTATACTAACCTCTAGAAGGTGTTTTTTTGCAATTGTGTCCCCTACAGTCAAGGAACCCATAATAAGATTTGTCTACATTCTTTCTACCTAGATTTCTAAATATTAGTGGATTTTCAGCTCTTCTACTGATCCTTCAGATTTTGCTTGTTTCCCTTCGAAGAAACCGCCTGCAGCCAGTAAGTTGCAGTTCAGAAAGCAACTGTCTTGCAAGTATGCTAACAGGAACTAATTACACAGACAAGTCCACCACCCCTAACATATGACTTCAGTTTGATGGTAATCGGAACTAAGACACCACTCTGAAAGCTGAAGTAGAGAAGCTACCACCTGCTTAGAGTCACACCATACACATCCACTTTTTATAGTCGAGACACTCATGAGTGTATGCTGTTCCAAGACCTCTATAAAAGCACATAATCTGCATTTTTCAAAGCAAGACTGCACATTTGCAAACTGATTATCTACAGCCATACTTCTTTCCCCAGGTGACATTCTTGCACATGTATCAAACTGTACAGACTACTGAATGCAAGGGCTTGAGGGCTGCAGTTCTGTGAAGCTTCCAGAGTTGGAAAAATGCATGCTTTCATATAAGAGGGCACACTCAATCAGCTCAGGTATCACCACATTAATCTACTCAAACTCAAAATTTAAAATGTAAAGCCACATGTCAGATTGCAGCTGTGACATCTGCTCAGCTGATTCCAGTACATCCATAAGCCTCTTTTCTGCTTAGAAAAGACTTTGGAAGACTTCTGACCCTGCAAGGAAATCTCATTTTTCACTTTGAACTTGATACTGCCTCTTGTTTTGCGTCCAGAAACCACTGCATTCTGCCTAGAAGGATTATACAGCTATTTTAGTGCAACTGAGTAACTTGGAAGCTTCTCTATGAATCAATGCAACAGGACTGAAACAACGGTTTAAACTTTAGGATCCAAAGAGCACTTGTAGAAAGACTGTGAACACAGACTATGCCCAGTGAGACTTTCTACCCATCTGGCACTGAACGGTATGACCTCTCAGTCTCAGCAAGGCCTTCTGTATCAATGATCAATCCTGCCAGGCACTGCGCAGACAGCTCTTCCCTGAACGTCTTGTAATTTAATTTGACCTGATGCACAACACAGCAGTAATGGAAGAGGTGAAGTAAGTGCAGAACTGTTAACAAGACCATGAAGTTATAATACAGTCACTACTGCCGTTTTCACTGCTGCAATGCTCACAGTTCTTTTTAATCAGGCAGAACTTAACCGCTTCAGGCTTGGCCATCAGCAGTCACACAACTTCCCAGAGGCACAAGAGCTCAACAGCTGAGGGCAAAAGAGCAAGCTTATGAACTTGTTCAGAAGATACTCCATGGCTATGCCACAACCTTCAACTCAACCACACGAGAGCACCGAGGTATTCGGAACTGGCGTTACAAAAGGGAGCAGAAGGCAAAGAATTAATTTGACACCAGCAAGCAAAGCAGGAATCGTAATAAAAGCTCTCAAAGGACACTGCTTCGGAGTATAGCACCCAACCAAACGCACCTCCCGAAAGAGAACTGACAGGGGAAGTTCATGGCATCAGCAAAGGGGAAGAAAGAACACATAACACACCACCTCACCCCTTTCAGGCATGAATTCTCAGATAAGCTGTTCTCCTTCACTCTTTCTGAAGAGTCAGACAAGCGATAAGCATTAAACCAAATGGTGGAAGGAAGCACCAGAGCACTCAGCAGCAGTCCCCCTCCATCACATTTGCTTCTTTCACTTCCTTCTGGCTTAAAGCTGACACTCTCCAGACCTGTCTGTGTGCCATTTCTACCAAGGACAGGGGAAGTCTCCCTTGAGCTACTTTGCATTGCTTGACTTGGCGCAGTCACAGGTACACTGACTCGCAGCCTCACACCTGCCCTCTGACATTAAAGAGTCTTGTCATGACAGAAGAAAAAACACGTTATTTTACATCTAAAGATCTGAATATGAACAGCTCAGAAAGGTGATCTTTAAAGGTCAGGACAGATATTGTTTAATTAACCATATAAGCACTATTAGCATCTACTTGAAGACGACTGTAGAAATTACAGAATACGCAAGAGAAAGGGTAACGTGGAAAGTATGTAAGGGGGGGGAAAAAAAAAAGAACTCATCAGCCCAGGAAAAGATACCCAAGCAGAAAATGTAAAGCAAAAAAGCTGCTCTTAGTCACAATTTCCAATACAGAACTGAGGAGAATATTCTTGAGAACAGGATCCAGCAGAAGGAAGTATTTCTTTACACACAGTGCACCCTCAAACTTATTCAGAGAGAGTATCATGGAGAAAGAGTTCACATGAACTTTTCAGAAAGACTGACAAATTTACAGAAGAAAGAATCACTATTAAACAAATACCAGGCAAGCAACAGCTCAGAGCCAAGTTCATCGCATCTCTTCTATACTTCCATGCTTCCCGTTAGTCACTATGGCAAATAGTAGGTAGGACCTACCTTTGGTCTTACTCAGTACAGCCATTCTTAACACAGTTCAGGAGTTCTCTTTTCAGGGAGAAGAATTAGGACAAACAAGTAATTTCTTTAATCAGCAGGGCAGGTGGCCAGTGAAGTCAAATCTATGGTCCAGCCCCAGGGGAGGTTATGATTCCTACAATGCTTTAGCTTTAGTACTGCTCTTCCCCATCTCACTGCCCATCCGTATGATTATGAGCTCTTCCCATAGACAGACAGTTAACAGTTATACAAAAGCTTAAAGTCCCAGCGTTACCAGTTCAGAGCAAACGGATTAAAGAGGTTTAAAAGCATTCTTCCAAGGCATCCTAACATCTCTTCCACTACTTCATCAAGCTTGACTAGCCAGAGGAAAAAAGAGAGACAAGCAGAGAGTCAAAGCCATTCGTAAAGGCTCTTTGAAGCCTGACCACAACCTTTTCCTGCCAGTATCACTGAACTAGACTGCCAGATCACATCTTGCCTAGAGTGTTTCAGAGCTACCCCAGTAAAGAAAATACAAACTTTCTTCCAGAAAGCTGTACGTAGCACTCTACAGACTGGTCAACGTGCACATATCCAAATCACCTCAGGATACTCCTGTCACTGAGTGCTCCGACACCCTTTCACTGAAGACTTAAGCAGCCAACACCTTTTTTAAATCCAGCCTTGAATTGCTGTAGCAGCCACAAGCTGATAACAGAGCAGGAAAAGTAGTCTCCGGCGATATTTTGCTGCCTTTGGTCTTAACCCACTCTCAGCTCTTCAAAGCACATTGCTAGAGACAGACAAGTCTGAAGGTCACAAAGTGAGACTTCAGTGCTCTAAGCCAAGACTCACCTAACTTTAGTTAAACACAAGCTGAACAAATCAGTAAGTACAGGTCTCCCTCCACTGACCTGAGGAGACTAAAAGCTGATATGACACAGCACTATTTGCATCAAATACGAACAACCGGATAAGGACAAACAGAAGTAGGGATTACTCCAAGGTAAGCCATGAAGTAGTAAATAGTTTCTTGGAACCTTCCTGAAGGAACCACTACCTTTACACAAATAAGCTGAAGCAGAAGAGAAGCCAAGCCAAGCCAAAGCAAAAAGACCCAACAAGTCAAATTTATAGACAAATATGAAACAAAACTAGCCCTTGGATAACTCAAGTTAAAAGTTTAATCACACCAGAGACAAGAGCAGCCCAACAGCTGATTCTGATCTTGCAAAATCAAAACACCCCCAAAAACACACACCAATACTGTAAAACTGCCAGGCAACTGTTGCTAGTTTCCCTTGATTAAAGGGACAGCAGCTCATTCTTGTCTCTGATGAGGACACAGGGAGAGAGCACAAGCATCTTCCCATCAAAAACAAAGATCTGTGGCAAAAAAAAGAGGAGCATTAAGCATCAACAGGTATGCACAAGCAATTTAGACAAGCTTAAACTGGTCACCTATCCCTCCCTTTAGCTTTGATCATTTTCAGGAATTTCAACAAAAATGAACTACACAACTCACTCTGTTCTGTTTTCTACTCACTCAACTCCTCTTCAGCAGGGTGCTAAGTCTCTTCAGGAGCCATCACCAATGCTTTTCCTACCAGGAAGGAACTGCTGGGCAGAAAGCACAGTTCTAAGAGTTTGCAACAAGGATTACAACAGCGCACTGATCTGCAACAATACTAACTGAAACAAGAGAAATGAATATAATCATGTCTGATCAGAGCCCCTGAGAGAGTCTGCAGTGTTTTGGCCAGCTCAGCAACATAACCAGAACAGTGTCAGCATGTGGTATAACACTAGGTCACAGCTGAGACTAAACAAACATGATTAAGCCTCTTGAGCAATCAGGTGACTGACAAATATCAGGAAACAAGTCTTTTCGCATAGAAAAAGAGAATAGGACCAATACAAAGGACCAGTTTAAAAAAAACACACAAAACAAAACACATGCACACATCTGTGAAGGATCAGTAGTTTGCCATACAGCAACTAACCTCAGAACTACAAAGCCCACCCAAGCACAGAGATACCTTGATTCCCAAAATGAAGAACTCTAGGTTCAAATTGAGGATTCTAAAGTCCTTGCCACAACTTTAAGAGTCTCCACCCTTTTAATATAGGCTATTTGTAGAGCTCTTTGTGAGACAGGAGTTCAGTAGGGCTGTTACCAACAGGATACAAGTAAGATGATGCTAGCTAGCTAGCTGAGACTTCAGAAGCTATCCATACAGCTTCACCAGAAGTCAGTAATTTGGCTCTGCAATCCTGTGTAAGCAGGGAAACCAACTGACTGAAATCAAATTTCAGCCTTACTTAGTAGTCAACAGCCACATTCTCCCAGCTACTCTCCTCTCAGCTTTGCTGGAAGCTGATTAAAAGGAGTAAACTAAACTAACAATGAGCACATTTCTCTCTCTAAGCAGTGTCTCATCCAGCTCTTAGGAGAAGATACTTGTGCTTTCTTTTAAAGAAAAAAAAAAACAAACTGCTAAACTTCTGGAAAACATCTTTCCTCATAAGCTACAAGAGAGTCTGGAATTATATCCACTGAAGTCAACTACTTCATATAATCTCTTCATATAACCTAGAAATCAGAGTTAGTGTCTGTCTAAACTTAAGATAGTTAATAGCTGAAAACAACCATGAGCAAGCCTTCCTAAAGGACAGTTTGAACTCACAGAAATACCAGGCAGGCCTTACATCAAAAGGCTCCAGGGCAGGAGGGAAAGGCTGTATTCCTCAGCCACCTAGAAAACACCAGACCCAAAAAGCTCCTTAAGATGTGCCCAAAGCATCAGGTACAGCTTAAGTACTAAAGGGGAGTTGAGTTTTGCATTCATACATTAAGGACTAAATGCAAGATGTATCACACTGCTATGTGCAAGTTCTCCTGTGATATTTGACAGAAGGGCCCAGAAAAGTGTGCAGCATCTTAGAGAATGAAAAATATACAGGCTCAGTCTGCAATGCAATGTTTAAAGTTTCAGCCATGAAGTCTCCAAATATAACAAACGGCCTATTATTTTCAAGTGAGATTAAAAAAAAACACACACAGAACTTGTTTGGTGCTCACACTTCACTAACGACCGAGAATAAACTGTCTGATGGTAGCTAAGATAGCTGGGGCAAGAGCTCAACCCAGAGAAACTGCACCCATTCTCTATCACTCAGCAGTACTGCCCTTACCAGCCAGAGGGGACTCACCAGTGCTGCTTGATCAAAGCATTCAAAAGCTTCAGGGCTAAGTGAGCGAGGAAGTTACTGCTTATATTTCCAGAAATGCACTGTACAGAAAGCAAGGGGCATCACAGTACTACTGGCTTTAAACCTGAAATAAGTTAAGGTGTTGCAACTCTGTAAGTTGCAAGCTGCCTGGCTGCAATGAAAAGACCGTTTGAGTAGAGTGACTTCAGCAGAAAGCAGTCTAGACTTCCCTTTAACCCTTCCTTCACTTCCCTAAGCAATCATTTCTTTTTTTAATTTTTAAAAATAGTTTAGGGGTATTCCAACTTTTAAGTCCCATAGCTTATTTGTTCGTTTTAAGCCTGAGAAGCACACACTTCATGCGCTAACTTAACCGAACAGTTTAGCTTCCTCTCTGCCCACACAGCTTACTCCAGGTGCCTCTTCTGGTTCATCACTAGGAATACAAGTCATTAGGCAAGATTAATCCAGTCTCTCTTCCAGGCCCACCACCTTTTCTGGAAGGCAACATCACACGTTTTACAAGAGGGAGTAAAGAAACAACATCACAGCTCTCGACTAAACAGCACACTAAGGAGGTAACACAGAACAGCTGAAACACATCCTAGAGCATGATTACTCACAGCCTCTCCCCCAACCCTCCTATCACAAGCACCGCTGCAGATTATTCATCAGCACCTAACCTTTAAGACCCTCATCACCTGAGTTACACCAGCAACGCCACAGCCCAGACGTTAACTAAAGCAGGCAGCTGTGAAGGCAGCCCTCCCCCCCACCCCCCCGGGGCGGACC